CACTGCTCACAACACCTCACACCCTTCCTCTGCCTGTGCCCTGCACACACCTCTCCCCTTCCCAAACACGTGCAGCTCTCTGACTGCAGACTCCTGCCAGGGCTCACACCAAAACCCCTGAAGTGTTTAAGGTGGCAAGGGGCAGATAAAGAGAGTCAATCCTGCAGTTCTTTATCCAGAGACAGGATGCTCCCAGGAATGGTCCGAACACTGGCTGACAAGTCTCAAAAGCCTTGACATAGAATTGTGCTCCTGTGTACAACAGGCAGTCACAGCCTGCACAGAACTGTAAATCCAAGGGATGAGGTGCTAAGTTTACCTGGCTCCCATTTCTGCCTTTAAAAATTGGGCCAAAGATTTAGCAATGATGTCAAGAATAGGGAGTACAGCAATATGATACCAATTTATGCAGTTCAAATACAGTACCAACAGAACTTGTCTTACAGGCATTTTTATTTTATTTTAGTGCTTTTTTCCCCTTGGTTCTGGAAATTGGAGGTTACTTTTGGCAGCTATCTGCTGCTCCTCCGAGGCACACTGTGATGCAGTGAGAACTGAGTGTAAGACACTGGAAAAATTAGGGGATGCAAATTCAAGACTGAAGCAACAAACACTGAGTCAGCTCCAGCAAAGTCTGGGTTTGTATTCTAAAAGATCTAGAAAGACGAGGCAGACAAGTGGAACAAAAGAAAACTGCTGTCCCAGCACATTCCAGTTGGGAAGCATCACAGAGAAACTACAAACATTCTCCCGTTGTGAAAGGTTGGACTTGCACCCCAACTCCTGACTGTGCCCCAGGCAGATCAGGTCCTGCCTCTGCTCTGCCATGAGCTCTGGATTCTCCTTGGTGTCAATTCTCTCACATGCAAATATTCCTGGCCAGGGGTGGTGGCCTAGCTTGGGCATCCACAGAAGTTGAATATTTGACAAACAATATTTCTTAATTAGCTCGTACACTTCTGTCCTGCAAACTTCCAGCCAGATGCTTTGGGGAATATACCTATGTGGCTGATGAAAACACTCCCACCCACACACAGACACTGCAGGAGTGCTCCACAGAGCCAGGAGGAGGCCAGGAGCCCTGGAGGCTCGGGAGGGGATGATGGAGTGACTTCACAGCTCTTGTGAAAGAAACCAGAATTGTCTCAGTATAAAAGGAAATTGGAGGCGTCCGTTGCTTTATTTTGATGAAAGAGAGGAAACTAGGCCAACCAGTTGTATTTAAAGATATGCAGAGCTAGAGCAGGGCAAAATGAATTTTAGGGTTAGGTTCACATGGCTTTTGTGTTTCTTAGGGCAGAGGGAAGCCCTGCCAGGCCCAGCAGAACCACAAGCTGGATGGGCTAAGCACATGTACATCCAGCTGTGTGGCTGGAGACCCTGAGCTATCAGGGACACTCGAGGTGCCTCACCAATGCCCAGCACAGGGGCATGGGCACTGCCCTGGTCCTGCTGCCCACACTGTTGTTGATTCAGGCCACGATGCCATTGGCTGTGGAAAATCAACGGGAGAAATGCACACCCAATGGTGTCCAGCAAGACTCGTTTATTGTAAGCAATCATCCATCTTTTATACAGTGCGTGAACAACTCTGCTTATTGTTCTCTTTACCATTACCTAAACCCTAAAAGTTACATTTGTATACTTTCTTAGCTTGCAGGACAACTATACCTATTATTCATTTTACATTTATATACTATGTCTGCTTGCAGCTGCAGCTGTGAAGAAGTCTTTGTTTTCTGGAGAATCCTTCTTTGTTTTCCTGGGATAGTTCATCCTTGGGTTTGCAACATTGCTGAGCTTTCCCAGATAGCTTGTCCTTTGGCTGCAACATTATGCTGCAAAAATAACTTCTAAGGCTGAGAAGCTAAATGCCTGAGTCCTACTTCTTAGTTCTATGCTCAAAGCTCCCATAGACCTTTGCTCGACTCTTGCTCACACAATGCTCTCTGGGAGCTGTGCCCCTGTTCCCTTAGCCATTCTTCAACAATTGGCCTTCTTGGCCAGCTGTGCCCATGCCTGTTCATGCACAGCCACTGCCAGCAGCACCCCTAGGTCCTTCCCCACACAGCAGCTTTCAGATAAAAAGCTCTATTAGGTAACACATGATTTCATCATACCAAAATGTTTCTGTCTGGAGACCTGATCCTACTGGGAGTACATGAAAACTCAAATACCTCCACCAATTAGCTGTAGGAGCCTTTGGAATCAGAGAGGAGATGCTTCCTTTTCCAGAGGAAAACAAAGAGGGCTGGTTTGTTTTTTCTTTTCTTTCTCTTTATTCATAATTTTTCTTCCTCTCTGCCTTTCAAGTTATTGCTGCTTCTGAAGACAGAGAGAAAACTCCACCACTTTTTGTAGCATAAGGTAATATTTCATTTCCTGCTCCTCATAGTTGGTTCCTAAGACAAAACCCAAACACAGGGGTCTTTCCATGGTTTGTTCTCCTGGTTAGAGCCTGGAGCTGCTCTAAGTTTCTCCAGGAGCAATTTATCCCACCTACCTTTAGACACCAGAAATGTGGATTTTTACATCTGAATTGGTCGCTCATCCAAGGGCAATAGGAACATCTGTGGCATCAGCATGTTATTTTAGGTGTCTGTGGAGGGGAAGCTTGAATTATACTGACAGTGTACTTGCTTATCTCTATTGCCTATAAAAAACTTTAGCAACTGCAGCTGTTTATTTTGCTGATAAATGTGTGGAACAAATGAATCACAATGTCTGTACTTTCTCACCTCTTCATTTCCTCTTCTGTCATCACTAAGGAAAACAAAAAGGCATTTTCAGAAATCCTGAAATCCCAAAGACTCCAAAATCTGAAGTTATTTTATCACTATTAATGATACTGCTGTGTGTGGATCAAAGCCAAAACCCCAGTGGACATGCAGGTATCTTCATGGGAGTCTGAGCAATTTATTTTTCATTGTTTGTTTGGCATTTTTCTTGCACATATATATATATGTTCTCATCTTGTACATGTGAACCCTGCAGCAAAAATGTTAATCCTTAGCTCTCTTAGAGGAAAACTAACCTCCAGGTTGTGTGGTCCATACTATCTCAATCCCAGTGAGAGAGGAGTGTAGGGTGTGGAGGTTCTATTATTCTCTCTGTATGTCTTTCAAAAATAAGGCAAGTATGTTTTGACTGAAACAAACCAGGAAGTTTCCCAGAAAAAGAATTCTTTCATCAGATCTGATGAGATGGTAAATTCTCAGAAAAAGGCATCAAGATGTAAGTGCTGGTGATCACTTCTGCTTGGGCAGCTCTGTGTCTGAGCCTCTTTGTGTTCCCCAGAGCTTATCCTGAATGAAAACTCAGAATATGGATTTTCTATGACTCAATGAACAAGCATAAGTGCATGAACACTTTTAGCAATTCAAACCTGTTTAGGTTTAATTGGACTTTTGCAGAGTTAACAGCAAAATGATGTGTGTAAATCACTTCTGCTTGGGACAACCTGTCAGGGGGAAAGCCACAGGATTGCCACATCACCTGGCTTAGAGCACCACTAACTAAATGGATTTCAGTTGAATCCAGCTAGCCAAATATTTGGTCACTGCATAATCCCTTTGTTATTAATAGTGCCACCAGTCCTGGTGTCCTTGGACATCCACCTTAATGGAAAGAAATTGTGTGTCTGTCTTATGGTATATTTCTCACTATTAAATATGGAGTGATTCTAAGACAACTGGTTCACATTTAGATGTCCATAGACTTTTAGATGCTGAAGCTAACTGAGAGACATGCAGCCCACCCAAAGAGAAATTCTTCTGCCTTATCAGAGATGCTCCATCTCTCTCAGGTGAGCTGCCCTTTGCAGGTATCTCCTTCTTTCTGTCCAAAGCAAACACAGAAAGGCTGTTTGGAATTTCTATGTCTGCCTTCTGGTCACCTAATTTAGAGAAGGTTAATCCCAGCCTGTGACTGTTAGAAATGATCTTGGACAGGATCCCCAGCTGAGATTTTTTTCACTGAGGTCACTGTCATACCCAGTCCAAATTTCACTTCATGTCTTAAATCCCATTTTACTTCAACAGGAGCTATTTCTGAGACCACAAGTCTGTCCCAAGCTGCTAATTGTTTGCAGTGTGCTGTGTTTTTTTTATTCTCTTTTAGGATGGGACCTGTTGAGGAACTGAACTCAGGAAACCAAACCATCACTACTCACTTCTTACTTTTGGGCTTTGCCTTCCATGGCAAGATGCAACTTCTGTTTTTCATGGTGATTTCCATCATGTTCATGGCCACCTTGCTAGGGAACTCTCTGATTGTTGTGATCACAACCATTGACCCTGCCCTACACACGCCCATGTACTACTTCCTGAAGAACCTTGCCTTGACAGAGATCTGCTACAGCCTGAGCATCGTCCCCAAGATGCTTATGATTCTGCTGGTGGAGAGAAAAAGTATTTCCTTCATGGCTTGTGCCTTGCAGCTCAACTGTGTTATCATTTTTATCACCTGTGAGTGTTTCCTCTTAGGTGTGATGGCTTATGACCGGCAAGTGGCAATCTGCCAACCTCTGCACTATGCCACCCTGATGAGCAGAGCTCGCTGCTTCAGGATGGCTCTTGGCTCCTGGCTCTCTGCTGTCCCTGCAGCTCTGGCCTTCACCACGTGGCTGTTCACCCTGCCCTTCTGTGGGAGGAACACAGTAGATCACTTCTTTTGTGATGTGTCTCCTGTGCTGAAGTTGGTGTGTGCAGACACAGCTTTGTTTGAACTGCTCATCTTCATTGCTATTGTCATAATAGTGATGATCCCCTTTGCCCTGATAACTGCCTCATACCTTCGCATTGTCCATGTTATTCTTCAGACACCCCTGGCTGTGAACCAGAGAAGAGCCTTTTCCACCTGTGCAGCTCACCTGGTGGTAGTGAGTCTTTTCTACAGCACAGCTGGCATCATTCACCTGCGGCCCAAGTCCAGCCTCTCCTCCAACACAAAGAAAATCATCTCCCTGTCTTACACAGTTGTCACCCCCATGCTCAACCCCATCATTTACAGCCTGAGGAATCAGGAAGTCAAGCAAAGCCTGAAGAGATGCACTGACAAGTGGCTACTTAGGAAGCAGATGTTTGGTTTCTCTCCATCCGGGTGATGGAGGAACAGAACATAAGTATTCCCCTAGGGAAAAAATGAAGTGGAACTTAAGAATGTAGTGAAATGCCTCTCAAAAAGATCTGTGCTATTTCAGCAATACTTTGCTCTTATGTCCATAAAATGTCTGAGCTTTCTTACTCAGTGCATTAGAATAAGTTATAGTTATACCTCTGGCCTTGCAAACAAATGAGTTAACCTGACATAGTGTCAGAGCATTACAGAAGTGGATTATGAAGTTCTTATCCTCCCCCATCATTATACCTTTATCTCCACAAGTATATAAAGTCACTTGTTTGGGAAAAAGAAGTTTGTTTTCCTCTCCACCAAAGCAAAACTGACAACCTGTAACTCTCTCCACAACCACCTTCACTCCCCAAAATCCCTCCAAAAAGTCAACAATGAGCTGAGAAACAAGTTAGTAACTTCTGATTGGAAGGAAAGAGCTTCCCCCATCATTATACCTTTATCTCCACAAGTATATAAAGTCACTTGTTTGGGAAAAAGAAGTTTGTTTTCCTCTCCACCAAAGCAAAACTGACAACCTGTAACTCTCTCCACAACCACCTTCACTCCCCAAAATCCCTCCAAAAAGTCAACAATGAGCTGAGAAACAAGTTAGTAACTTCTGATTGGAAGGAAAGAGCTGTGTCTCCTAGACCTTCCTGCTGTGGGAGAGACTTGCTCTGATTTTTTTCCCCTCGAACAAAGACTTCTTTCCCAAATGAGGTAGTAAATTGCTCAGTTCAAGGCAGAAAGGGTGAACTGAAACATTGCCAGGTAGATGTGAAAGCTTAATTTAATTTTTCCCCTTCTCATGTAGGTTGAAAAAAAGCCGTGGGAGAGGATTGTTCCCTAACTCCCTGCACCTGATGTTTTCTGTCTGATCCTTCTCCTGGATTGCCAGATGGAGTGTTCATTAAAGTGAAATGCAACTTGTGCTTTTATTTTCTCTCTACTTATTTCAGTCTATCTTCAATGCCAATTTGGGTCGTGTTTATATCTGAGAAGCATCTTCTTTTCCAGTTTGTGTGATTAACACCTGATTCACTCCACTGTACCTTAGACCTGAAGTAACAAAGCCTCCCTACTACAAGCACAAAAGGACATACATTCCCTGTGTATCAGGTGTACATGGTGAGGTTTTGGTGGTGGAGACCAGCAGCTCATGGAAAGCCCATTTCTTTTGGTGGGTGCTTGGCCCAGCTCCACTTCTTCCACTTCTTGGGCAGCTCTGAGTCTGTGCTCCTGGCCAGGATGGTCTATGACCACTACATGGCCATTTGCAACCCTTTGCTCTACACCCTTGTCATGAGCCCATGGACCTGTCTGCTGCTGGTCCACTGGCTTTGTACATGCCTTGATTCACTCAGTCATGACCTCTCAGTTGAGTTTCTGTGGCCACAACAACATTCATCACTTTTTCTGTGACATCAAGCCCCTGCTGAATTTGGCCTGCAGTAGAACCAGCCTCAAGCCACCTCAATGTTGTCACCACATCTATTGTTCTAGGTCCCTCTGCTCTCATAGTCCCTTCCTACCTCTATATTATCTCCTTCCTCTTCCATAAGTCCAGTCCCAAGGAGAAAGGTGGAAGCTCTTCTCCCCCTGTGCCTCCCACCTCACCATTGTGGCACTGTTACACATTCCAGTGCTCGTCAACTAGACACCACCTCCTCAGGAATCTCCACTCCAAGGCATGTTCCAATGACTCTCATGTACAATGCAGCTCTGTACCCCTTGATCTACACACTTAGGAACCAGGAGTTGAAAACTGCCCTGAAAAAAAAAATTTAGAAAACTCTTTCCTGGAGGAAAGTGACTGAAACAAGGAGAATACTCAGAACGTGGTTGTTCCACAAGGGAAGAGGACAAAAGGTCACTGTATTGCAAGAGACTGAAAAACTACCAGTTGTCTCATGCAGTTTGACACATTTATAAGTGAATTGCATAGATCTACATTAGGGGAGATATTTGAGGACTTGTTGCTGCTTTCATTATGTCATGGTTTAACCCCAGCAGCAGCCAAGAACCACACAGCCTCTCACTCACTCCCCCACCAATGGGATGGGGGAGCAAATTAGAAGGGTAAAAGCTACAAAAACTCATGGGTTGAGATAAAGACAGTTTAATAGAGAAAGCAAAAGCTGCACACACAAGCATAGCAAAACAAGGAATTAATTCACTGCTTCCCACAGACAAGAGGTGTTTATCCATCTCCAGGAGAGCAGGGCCCATCACGCGTAACGGTTCCTTGGGAAGACAAACACCATCACTCCAGATGTCCCCCCTTCCTCCTTCTTCCTCCCACCTTATATACTGAGCATGATGTCATATGGTATGGAATATCCCTTTGGTCAGTTTTGGGTCACCTGTCCCAGCTGTGTCTCCTCCCAATCTCCCATGCATCCCCAACTACCTTGCCATGTGGCAGTATGGGAAGCAGCAAAGGCCTTGACTCTGTAAGCTCTGCTCAGCAATAACAAAAACATCTCTCCATTATTAACTCTGTGTTCAGCACAAAACCCAAAGACAGCTCCATACTAGCCTCTGTGAAGAAAGTTAACTCTACTCCAGCTCAAACCAGCACACATTATGTTTTAGGTGTCTCATGGCACCCCACCTGGTCTCTGATTTCCAGTAGAGGCTCCTGCAGGGCTTGGTGCTTAGCTAACAGATCCCTGCACTAATTTTGGGTGGAATGAGTGTCTGACAGCAGTGTTTAGGCAGCTGAGTGTCTCTCCAGTCAATCATACCTTTGGTATAGCTGAAGAGAGTTAGCATGTCTTACATTTTGAGTGGCCACAGCCTGAGAAAGATCTTGTCAACAATTGACTTGGGTCAGCCATCTGGAGGGATCTGTTTCTTTCCATCAAGTATAAATAAAAGTATTTCCCGCCCTAACAGAGCGTGCAGCTGATTTTACAAGGGCAGCACCAGTGGGAAATGGAGCTGTCACTGGACTTACAGTGCAGTGATGGTGGAGGATGGTGAGAGGGATGATTTTATCATGGACATCTTTGCCTTTAGTGACTCCTGAGAGAAACAGCCAAAGACAGATTCCACAAGTTGCCTGACCACAAAGATAACTTTGATCAGTTTTGTTTGACAGTACCAACTCCCACTGGAAAATGATGTTTATTAAGTGCATTTGCAGTATACTAATCACCCAGTTGAACAAGAAATCCCCTGTCACATCATGCACTCATTAAAACTCTTTCTCAAAGACTATTTCTCCTATTAGCCACCTGGTAACTGTACAGAGAATCAGCAGCAGGAAAAAGTTTGTTACAGATTGTTCGATCTACCAAGCCCTTCGATCTACCAAGCCCTTGGGTAAAAGTTACACAGTGTGAAGGATGGTCACAGGAGTGAACTTTCTCAGGGGTTTAATGGGCCCTGTGAGACAATTAGAGATGGAGCTACTGAAGAAAGTCTGTGACCCTCCTGGGAGGCTGATCAGAGCACTCAGAGCACAGTCACAGAAAAATAAGGGAAGGAACAAATGCTTTCACTAAGAAGCCCCTTCGATGTGTCCTGCCACAGAAAGGGGTCAGTGCTGGCTCACACCACAACCTTTTCAGGCCTCACCTGCCTCAGGTCAGTGTGGGATGCAGAGGAGACACAGAGGCTCCAGCAGAAGTGCCTGGGCAGAGGTGCATCAGCCTGGCCACACATCACTGCTGCCCCAGCCTTGGGGCTGCTCTCCTCCCCTGCAGCCCCAGGCTCAAATGCTGCTGCTCCATGCTGAACCACAGCCCTGACCACCTCCCTTCTCCTGTCCCCACTGTGGCTCAGCCTGCAGGTCCCTGGCAGCTCAGTCTCACCGAGATGGTGCACAGCTTCTCCACAGAGACCCTCCTGCCCCTGCCCAGACTCCCACCCCACAGACCGCCCTGCCAAACCCCAACTTCCACTTGCAGACCATTCCTCTAGCTTTCCAGAGAAGGATGGGTGCTCTGCAGCCATGAAGAACATCTTCTCTCCAGTGGTGACATCTTACAGGTCCCAGTTGTCCCAGCCCTGCCCTCCAGCTCTGCTCACTGGGTGCCCAAGTTCCCACTCAGTGTCATAACCCTCTTCCCAATCCCAAAGCCTTTAACAAGCCCCTGAAGTTCTGTCCCCTCCAGCCTCCCACAGCTCAGCAATGCTCATCCAGCTCACCTAGTGCTCCTCACTGAAAGGCCAACACCTTCCTAAAGTGTCCCCAGTGGGATGTTCCAAGGAACTGGTTCTGTCAAAGGATTCTTGTAAAGGTTTTATATGTCTGAGCTCAAGGTGTGAGTTCCTCTGCTGAAGGGAATCATTTTAACAGCAAAATGCACATGTGCCTGCAATGTGTGTGCTGAAAAACTACAGTTCCTCTGTCACTGCCTGCAAGCAGACAGAATTGTATGTCCATGGCATCTCTGAGTCTGGTGTCACAACCCTGAGGGATGCTCAGTCAAATGTTCTGTAGTGTGGGTTTAGTTTAGCTTTTCTATTGCTGCCATCACATTGAATCCTGGGGAAAACAAATCCTAAAGTGGAATGCAAAAATTGAACCCATTTTCCGTGCATGTCTGTACAGAACAGTACTCAGTTCTGAGATTCAGTCTCTAGCTCCTGATAATTTGCTTAAAATTTCAATGCTTAGAGCATTTCAGCTATATGTTCTATTAAAAAAAAACAGGGTTTTTTTTTCATAGGAAAAGATCTCAGTTGAAGCACTCTCAATATGCTTCAAGGACAAAACAGTTTTCTTCCTATCTGGGAGTATTTTTTGGTTCATTGTCCTGGTTTATTGCCCTGTCTTGTAGAGGCATATCCTTAATTCTTTATTTGTGTCTTCTGGACATACATTGATATACTTATCTCCTTTGCAGTTCCCCAAGCCATACCAGCCACCTATCAAAACCACCTACACCTAAACTATGGCAATACCTTGTGGTTATCTCAGCTCAGTTTCTGCAACCAGACAATCTTCACACAGTTTTCCTTAGGTTCTACATCTTGGGTGACTCTTCACTCATCTCCACGTGGATATTGAGCCATTGACAACATCTCTTTGAGTGTGAACATCTGTGCAGTTCCTTATCCACTGAGTGGTGCATCCACCAAATCTGTGTCTCTTCAGTTTAGAGACAAGGATGTCATGAGAGACAGTGTAAAATGCTCTGTACAAGTCCAGGTAGATGACACCAGTCATCCTTCCTTCACCCACTGCCTCTGTCACCTCACTGTAGAAGGCCACCAAGTTCATCAGGCATTATTTGCCTCATTTTAAGGGAAGCCACAGCCCATGTGCCTTAGCATAGTTTCCAGGAGGTTCTGCTCCATGATCTTGCAGGGCACCAAGGTAAGACTGACCAGCCTGTAGTTCCTCATGTCTCCCTTTTATCCTTTTTTAAAACTAGTGGTTATGTTTTCCCTTTCCCAGTCAGTGGGAACATCACCAGACTGACACAACTTCTCAAAGATGATGTACAGTGGCTTAGACACTTCCTCCACTAGCTCATGCAGGTCCCATGGATGCATCTCATAGGTCCCACACAGGCTTGGGTAACTCCAGGTTCCTTAGATGTTCCCAAACTGGTCTTCTCCTACTGTCTGTGGTTCATTCTCCCAGACCCTGTTTGTCTCCTGTGACTTGGATACTGTGGCTGGAGCACTTGCCAGTGAAGATTGAGGCAAAAATGTTGTTGAGTACCTCATCCTTCCTCATGTTCCAGGTAACCAGGTCTCCAGTATCCTTCAAAGAGAGCCCACTTTATCCCAGGTCTTCCTTTTAGCACCAACATACCTGTAGAAGCTTTTCTTGTTGCCCTTGACATCCCTGAGCAGGTTTAATTCTATCAGAGCTTTAGGTGTCCTGTGAAGGTCTTCTGGCACCACAAACAGAGCTCTGTCCTCCACTGTGCCTTGTCCTCCAAACTAAAGCTGCTGGATGACATTTACACATGGACACCATGCTGAGAATGGGGCTGAGACCACTTGGTTGACCAGAACAACAGAGCAGCTCCTTGGTGGGAAAGCAGGGGCATCACCTGGGAAAGCAAACAGGCAGAGTTTGCATTTTTGAGCCAGGTTTATTCCACCTCCTGTCAGCAATCCATTCAGTCCCTGCAGCTCGGCAAGGACCAACTCTGTAGAGGCCAAAATCGCTGGGATGGAAACTGGTACTTCAGACTCTTTGGACTACACTCCCATCTAGTGGTGTTTGCATAATACAACTTCCCCTCGTTTTTGGAGAGACTTCACTTTTTTTTCCCCTGGCCTTTGAATTTTCCCAGGTTCTTATAACTGCTTTTTTTTCTTTTTGAAGTTCCCCAAACTGATGCAAAGTTGTGCCTTGCCAAGAGGTATTGATTCCTCAAGCTGTTTCTGTCTGCCCTTGCAGCCTGAACACTGACTAACAAAGTGCAGGACATGTGTCCTTCTTTAATGACATCTGGGAAGCTGCAGCTGAAAACCAGGACCTGGACCAACCATCTCATTTATCTGTGGTGGAAACCCAAGAAGGTGGAGCAGCATTTCCAGAGCATGTCTGAAAGAGCAGCACAGGCAGTGCCTGGCATGGAATCCAGACCCTAATCACTGCTGACTTGAGAGCAATGATGACCATCAAAGTAACCTTTCACTCAGCTGTCATCCTGACTATCCATATAATTCCAGCCAGGCCCAAAAGTGATCAAAACAAAGGCTAAGAATGTGCTAATTCTACTCAGAGTGCACAGGGAAAGAAATGGTTATTTATGTTCACATGAGGCTGATGACAACAGCCTCTCCAAGGCTTTGGTTTGCTTGATTATCCCCTGGGCTCTCTGCACTGATCTCAGCTCTGGGAAGGTTTTTAAGGAGCGAGGTGTTGGGAGGAACACTCTCTACCTGACAGACTGCAAAAGAAGTGTTGGTATATTCAGTTGGCTGACTAAAAAAAAAATCAAGGAAAGTATGAAAATTACTACAGGGGGTGGGGAGGTGTCTTTACCAAACAAGGAGCTCTAATTCTTTGTTTTTCCCTTTTCCTAAGGAAATCAAGATCTTAAAGAAAATAAAGATGGATACAAAACCTTGAGAAGTTAGATTTTTCAGTTGGATTTCAGTGTTCCTGTGGTTTCAGGTAAGAACTAGTGTTGAAGGGTTTGTTGATTGACACAGGCCACACTTCCAACGTTTTCAGTGGTCAGATGTTGGAAAATGGGCTAAAAACTGGGGGGTTTGGAAGGGTAAGAGTTTAAGGGAAAACTGAAAATTAGATCAGTGAAAAGAAATGGGTAAGCCCTGCAAAGTTATGCTATCATAAGTGGTCCAGATGCCAGTTATTGGAGGGGTGTTGTTTTAGGGTCTTCACTGCTCTAGTAACTGGTCACCTCCCTAAAGTGCCCAGATGTTGTGAATTACCCAGACATTTCCTCCACCAGAGCCTACAGGACCCATAGATGCATCTCAGCAGGTTCCTGAAGTGGTCTCAAACTTGACCTTCTCCTAGTATGGCAGTTCTTCATACTCCCAGTCCCTGCCTTTGTCTCCTGAGGCTCAGGTGGTTTGGCTGCAGCACTTGACAGTGAATACCAAGGCAAAAAAAAATCACTGAGTACCTCAGAATCATAAAATCATCAAGGTTGGAAGAGACCTCTAAGATCACTGAGTCCAACCATTAACCTGTCACTGCTGGAACCCCTAAACCATATCCTCCAACCCCAGACCCAGATGCCTCTTGAACACCTCCAGGGATGGTGACTCCACCACCTCCCTGGGCAATATTCCAGTGTCTGAACACCCTAACAGGCAAAACTTTTTTCCTACCACGCAATCTGACTCTGCCCTGTCTCAGCTCAAGGCCATTCCCTCTATCCTCTCCCTGCAGCCATGGCAGGACAGACATCCCCCACCTCTCTCCAACTCCTGTCAGGAAGGCCATGAGGCTGCTTTTTTTCACAACAGAAAAGAATATGGCAAAACTTGTGACAGGATCTAAGGAAAGAAATTGATCTTTAACTTGCTTGCACAGACTGGAGACACATTAGAAAGTACCACTGTGCCAGAGAAGAAACGTGGGCATCACTTCAGTTCTAGGTACTTAGTGCATGAAATAACAACAATAGTGACTCTTGGCATGTGAGAAGCAAAGATTTTCTTACTCCTTGGTGATGCAAAGATTTTTTACTCTTTGCTTCTCTATTCTGTGGAGAAATTTTCATTGTTTGAGTCTTAACTGCTGGGGTCATCACAAGTGCTAACAGTTCCTGGTTTACCACTAGACCAAAAGTTATGGCAAACCAAGAGTGGAAAAACAAAACAGTTGTTACAGAGTTCATCCTCCTGGATTTCGGGAATGGCCCTGAACTGGATTGTCTTCTCTTCCTGATGTTTCTGTCAGTCTATATCCTGACCATAACTGGAAGCACCTTTATCATTGTGCTGGTGGTGGTTAATCAGCACCTTCACACCCCAATGTACTTCTTCCTGGGGAATTTGGCCTGCTTGGAAATCTGCTACAGCTCCAATATCTTGCCGAGGATGCTGCTGAGCTATCTGGGTGGAGACAGGAGTATTTCAGTCAACGGATGCTTCACACAGTACTATTTTTTCGGCTGCTTGGCAGCTGCTGAGTGCTACCTGCTGGCAGTGATGTCCTACGACCGGTACCTGGCAGTGTGTCAGCCCCTGCACTACCCAACCCGCATGAACCCCGAGCTCTGTCTCCAGCTGGCCACCACGTCCTGGGTCAGTGGCTTTCTGTCCAACTCCATACTGACCCTCCTGATCACCAATTTAGATTTCTGTGGGCCTAATGAAATCGACCATTTCTTCTGTGACTCCCTCCCGATGCTAAAACTCTCCTGCAGTGACACTCGTGTGGTTGGACTGCTCACGTCTGTTGTGGCAGGGGGGGGGTGTCTGACCTTCTCATCTTATCTCTACATCATCCTCACGGTCCTGAGGATTCCTTCTGCCCATGGAAGGAAAAAGGCCTTTTCCACCTGCTCTTCACACCTTATTGTGGTGATTCTTTTTTACTGGTCCATATTAGCTGTCTATGTACTCCCTCATCACAACACCCAAGTATCACCCAACAAAATCTTCTCTGTTTTCTACACCATTCTCACTCCCTTGGTCAACCCTCTCATCTACAGCCTGAGAAACAAGGAAGTGAAGGAAGCTCTGAGAAAGCATATAAGTAAATTGCTGCCTTTGTGTTCTGTGAAGAGAAAGAGAGTCATAATCCTCAGTGAGTTTCAGACACAACTACAAGGCGTGTAATGTACATGGGAATGTAGCTAATCTGAATGAGGATTGGAAATATACAACTGTACCTCTTCAAAACAAATAAGCAGAGAAACAAAGCAGGTAAATAATCTTGCTGTCAGTGAGGGTGGTGGTGGTGGCTGGAGAAAGATCATTCATGTGTTATGAACGCTGTAAAGTAAGAAAAATAAATCTATGAATGTTATGTGTGTATCTTTGGACATGGTATATCCTCTTGCTGCCTGTTTGTTTTCTCGTCACTACAGCTGAAATCACAAAACGAACAGGTCATGGGTTTATACTTCAGCAGGGACAAGACCAAATAGCAGAATCTGTGTTCTGTCCATCCTTCAAACTCCAACTGTATGGATGGACCACCAACTATTTCATTCACCTCCAGTTATTTGACAGCTGTACATACATACATGCATGTGTGTGAAAACAGGGGGAAAGTTGGGGCTTTTTTTTTCTAAAACTAGAGCAGAGAACGTAATTACCTATCCGTTCTGTAGGAAATTAGTTCATATTTTGCATGTGGAAGACAGACTATTTACAAGGGCCTGGAGGGACAGGACAAGGGGAATGGCTTCACACTGCCAGAGATGAGGGTTAGATCACAGACTAGGCAGAAATTATTCCCTGTGAGGCTGGTGAGGCACTGGCACAGGTTACCCAGAGAAGTTGCAGACTCCTCATCCCTGGAGGCTTTCAAGGCCAGGATGGATGAGGCTTGGAGCAATCTGGTCTAGTTAGAAGGGCAGAAGGGGATGGAATGAGATGGTCTTTAAGGTCCCTTCCAACCCGAACCATTCTGTGATTACAGAGATGACAGAAATAAGACATAAAACCTCTAACTACATTAACCTCAAAGTACCTTAAAACCTCTAACTACATTAACTACAAAATAGCTCTAACTACATTAACTACAAAATACTTCAGCCTTTTCTCCTTCTTTTACACATACACTTCTTTCAAGCCTGTCTGGTAGATATCTAGAAGAGTACAAGGAAAAACTTCTTTCCTGTGCAGTCAGTGAGCACTGAACAGATTTGCCCAGAGAAGTTGTGGATTCTCCCTCTCTGGAGATGTTCCAGAACCTTCTGGACACAATCCTAAGCCACATGCTCTGAGCTGGCCCTGCTGGAGCAACAAGGTGAGACCAGATGACCCACTGTGGTCCCTCCCAACCTGATTCTGTAACTCTGTGAATAGCACATCCTACCAGGCTGGTCGAAAACCAGAAAATCCCAGAGAGTTGGGGTTTTTTTTCCTCCACTGACCTCTCAGCAGCACAGTGGGTGACTTCACCAGCGTTCCCAGAGAGGAGGTCGGAACTGTGACAGCAGGTGGGACAACCACTCCCCTCGGTAGGTTCAGGCGCTGTGGAATCCCCGCGGAGCATCCCTGGGATGCGGAGCTGGAATCCGCAGGTCCCCACGGAGCTCCGTAGAGATAAGCACCTGGAGCGCGCTGCCGGCAGCAGCAGCAGAGTGGCGCAGCGGAAGCGTGCTGGGCCCATAACCCAGAGGTCGATGGATCGAAACCATCCTCTGCTAGCCGTTTTATTGCCGCGCGGCGCGCACTGCGCCTGCGCAACCCGTTCGCTCGGGTGATTAGAATGTGGTGCTAATTACGCCAGACCCGTTTATCTTCAGTTTTCCACCGTTTAATTAGAATGTGGTGCTAATTACGCCAGAGCTGTTTATCTTCAGTTTTCCACCATTGTTTTTTTTTCCCCTCCTCCATCCGGCCCTCGCGGTCGTGGCACTGCTGGTGCAGGGAGATACTCCGAGTACCATTGGATAGTCTGAGGACTGAGTGCCCCAGCAGCAGGTTTGCAGAAGACACAAAGCTGGGGGGAGTGTGGATCTGCTGGAAGGCAGGAGGGCTCTGCAGAGGGACCTGGAGGTATGGGCTGATTCCAACGGGAAGAGGTTTAACAAGGCCAAGTGCTGGTCCTGCATTTAAGATGAAACTAGATGTGGAACTTGGTGCCATGGTCTAGTGACCACAGTAGGGTTGGACTTGATGTCATCTTGGAGGTCTTTTCCAACCTGGTTGATTCTATTCTATAGGGGTCCTGCCTACACCTCCCAGCCCTGGGGATGGTCCTCTGGGAGAGCTTCTAGTCTGTCCCCTCTTTCTCCTTTTGCAGGAGTTATTACTGTTCAAAGATAAACTCCACTTGAGGCTCATGACAGGTGCATGGGCTCTGTTGACTATTGGGATGGGAGGAACCTCCAGGCCCACCAACAGCCCTGGGAGCCACCAAGTCAGGAGATCCCTGGCACTGTGGGGGTTTCCCAGGGCTCCTCCATCACTTGTTGTTCCTCTGCTCCCCTCCAGTCCTCCAGGCAGTGACCTCAGCCACGCCATGGCTGAATTCAGGTGTGCAGCACTAACTCCCTGTGCAGCTCAATCCCCATCATACCTGTGTGGTGGCTCACCAGTGAGGGTTATTGTGACCAGAGGTGACCAAGGGGCAGATTCAGTTGGGGTGTAGATGGAGCCTCAGTGGACAGGGCAGCAATGGAGTCAGTTCTCCTTGGAGGAGACAGCTGGGCACTCTTCCCCTGGGTCAGGACACTGCCCAAGGTAACTCCATGAGGTTGAGACCTCTCAGCTTATTGGTTTGTGCATTCTGTGTTACCCTTCTAAAATCCACCAGGCACAACTATCTGAGCACCATGAATAATCTGCACAAAGCCTGGTGCAAAAGAACATTGTACTCTCCAGCAGTTTTTCCTCGTGGTCAGGAAGATATTTTAACATTTGTTGAACCAGGTTTGTGAGATACTGAGTTTAGGAAACACAGATAATTTGCCCTAATTAGGGACATGGAATTCACTAGCAGCCCTTGAGCTCCCAGGGCCTAGCAGGAACCCTCATTGCCTGGAGACACTCTGGAATGAAGAACAGGAACACCTGAGCTTTAACAACCCACTCACCTGTTTTAAGTGCTTGTATGTCTCTTGCCCTAAGTGATGAGGCTGTTCCCTCCCTTATCCAGCACAACCTCCTTGTTTAACCAGGCTCAGGAGGCAGAGGGGGCTGTAACACTTCATAAACGAATAACCACAGCAGAACCACTGCGAGAGCTGAACGTGGGACTGTGCCAGGGGAAAGGTGCACCTGGTTTCAGATTAAGGTGCTAAAACCACTAAACATGCACATGAGAGGAGCAGGGCAAGAACAAGTGCAGGAGTGTGCGTGGCCAAAGGAAGGGTTGGACTTGATGATCTTTGAGGTCTTTTCCAACCCGGCTGATTCTATGATGGTCAGGAAATAAGAACCAACAGCTGTTCCCTGTGGCACAAATCATATTTGTAGGGTAACACACACAACACAACACAAGCACAGTTTATATACACTGCCAAGCACCAAAATCCATCTGTTTCAAGGCCTTATTTAGGTAGCATTGCCTCCTCCTCCACTGGTCTTTCCAGAAGGTCCTGCCTTCTGCATCCGACTCGCGCTCGGCTGCCGCGGCATCCTCTGCGCAGATCCTTCCCGGCTGCTCCTCTCGCCTAGGCCCTGGGACCCACCGACACCAGAGCTGCTTTTGTTTCTTCCTGAAGAAACAAACACACCCATTAATGTCCATGTGGCATCACCCCCACAGCACCTCACCACGGGAGCTCCCTCGGGGACCACGCGAGCAGCAAAACGCACGTTTGGCATCCAGAGCAGAAAGCTCACCAGGCATCGGCGCTGTTGGATATTAGGAAGAGATATTTTGGAATGGGCTGCCCAGGGAGGTGGTGGATTCACCATCCCTGGAGGTTTTCAAGATGAGACTGGATATGGCACCTAGTAACCACAGTAGGGTTGGACTTGATGATCTTGGAGGTCTTTTCCAACTCAGCTGATTCTATGATTCTATGACTTTCAACAGTCCAAAACAGCACAATACAGCTGAGCATGTTTTTAATCAGTTCCTAAGTAACTGACACAATTTCTGATGGACTAAAGCAATGCCTACAGTAGAGGTAAGTTGTTTGTAAATAGTGCCTTTGGGAACTGGAGCCCTCCTGGGGAAAAGGGGGAGGGAAAGCAACAACTCCACATCAGGAATGCTCCAAGCATGAAACCTACCCTATGTATTTACCACGCCCATCATTTCACAAAGCAAGACTAAAGGCCTCTAAAGCCAAAAGGCTGAAACTCTACTGTTTATGGAAGGAAGAGCTGGAAGGAGTGAGAGTTGCAGGATAAGATCTGGAAGCAGCATAACTGCTTTTTAGTGTAGGAAATGTGCTTACTGGAGAATATTGGGGGGGAAAAAATGAGTATGAGTGAAGCAACTAAGTAAGAGAACCATGATCAGAACTGTATTAGTCCTTTGATTACTCCAAGTACTTTGATTTGATTGTACATCACCAACAGATCACTCTACACATTTTCCTCAAGGAAGACATGCAGACCATGAGGTGCCTGAAGATGTTTCCAGGTGCATGGCACAGTTAAGAACACACCACTATCACTCAGATCCCAGGGGTATATTTTAATCCACAATTAAAGCATAATGACCAGTACAACCTACAGGAAGATTCACTGTACGATATATAAAACCCAGATTAAATAAATTTAAGAGAAACCCTCAGCATCTCCGAGGGGATTCCCTCTGCTGTATCAGAGCTCCACACAGCATTATCCTTGTCAGCATTATCCTTATCTCCTTAATACAGAAGTCTACACTGCAAATCCCACAGGAAGTTGAACCCTGAGATAATTTGAGGCTGAGTGCAAGTGGAATGCAAAGCAGCTGGCAAAGCCAGCCAAGCCAGGAGTGCTGGCAGCACTGTGGGCCCAAAAGGCTGATCATAGCTAAAACCAGACAGCACAGAGTGAAAGAAACAGCAAGTGAGGAAAAGGGGTGGACAGGGAAGGACAGAAAACACAAGGATGGCAAGAGGAATTCACAGGGAGGACAAAGCTGGCAACACAATTCTGAGACCTTGATTGTGTCTAGGTCTTTCCACAGGAAGAAAGGAGTTACAAATGCAGGGGCAGAA